TTTTCAAGCATGTCCAATGTTCTTGGCACTGAGATAAGCACTTAACAGATTATCTCCTCTAAGCTCAGACTTAGGCATTGTTATTATCATTTTACAGAGGCATAGAGAAGTTAAACATTTGCTCAGTTTATGAGATAGCCAAAATTTGAACACAGGTCCATTTCACTTTAGAATTTGTGTTCTGAAACTGTATAAGGTGTATGCTGCTTGTATCTGTTGTAAACTAGGCCATTGTATTAATTCAATGAACACAAATTAAATTACCTTTAAAATATCACTGAACATCTATTAAGATATCTAAAATTTAAATAAAATAGGTCTGTGGTAGTCAGGTGTATGTACACATTGCTGGAAGCAATTCTAGTGGATTCATTCCTTCTAGATCTGTTGATTTAAGCTTTTCATCAAATTTGGGAGCCATTATTTCTTCAAATATTTTTTCTGCTCTTCTCTTTCTCTCCAATCTCTTTGGGAGTTCCATGTTAGTTGATATACTTTACATTGTCCCCCAGATCTCTGGGGCTCTGTCCCTTTTTCTTCTACCTTTTCCTCTCTGTTCCTGAGTTTGGATAATTTCTACTGTTCTATCTTCATGTTCACTGATTCTTTCTTCTGTCATCTCAAATCTTATGTTAAGCCCATAGAGTAAATTTTTTTATTTCTGTTATTGTACAGTTTAACTGTAGAATTTTCATTTTTGTAATGTTTATATGTTTTTGTTGATATTCCCTATTTTGAAAGTCATTGGTATCATATTTCTATTAAGTCACTGACATTGTATTTTTATTTAATTCTTTGAACATGTTATACTAGCTGCTTTGAAGTCTTTTTGAAGTCTTTGTCTGGTGTGTGGATTCTGATGTCTTTACTCAGTTTTTTATTCTTATTTTTAACTTTTAGCCTGGCTTCCTAGGAGTTTGCCCTTGTGCCTACGTGGCCCATAAGGCTCCACCCTCTGCCAGTGGATCTGTATATTGGTTGGGAAGCAGTCAAAGTTGGAGCTAGTTTTCCAGTCTCTCCTGGTTTTGCCAGTCTCAATTTGGTCTCCCCAGGCAGGAGCATAGCTTTCCTGTCAGCCAGGGAAATATGGGGAGATATAGTCCTTCCATAATCTTTCTGTGGCTCTCTCATTTCTAGATCTTCCCATTAAATTTCTGACTTGTCCACTGCTTGCCTTGGCTGGGTCTGCAACCTCAGGCTAGCAAAACTGAGGACTTTTCCCTTTCAGTTTTCTACTGTATTCACCATATTTAGTTTATAAAGGCACAACTCACAAGTCTGCCTCCTCTGGCAGCAAAGCTGCTGGTTTCTGACCAGCTCCATGCTGGTAAGAACCAGAATGAGGATGGGAGACCAGGCCATGGGATCTCACTGTTCAGACCCTCAGCTCTAGCAGTTTTTGAAAAATAAATACTTCTTAATTTTTGTCTCCATTTGGTAAATTCTAGAGCTGAATGATTGCTGAATGATTGCTGAATGATTGCTTTTTTATTATTTTGACAAGTTGTATACTTATTTCTGTGGAAAGGATTCCCTGACCACTTCACATTGCCATTGCTGAAAGTCCCTCTGGTTTGTTCAGTCTCTTCCTCCTCCTCTTTCTTTTTCAATTTTTATTATTGAAGCATAGTTGACATAACATCTCTGGTTAATTCTCTCTGAAGAATAATTTTTCATGATATAATAAGAAATATAAAACCATTTCATTGCCCTGACTTTGTAAATCTATTTGGGTGAATTGTATATCAAGGAAATAATTCAAAACCAAACAGCAAACCATAAAATGTGTTCAAGATAGTCATGGCTGAATTGTTTGTGCTAGTAGCAAATTAGAAATCTCTTAAACGTGCAACATTTGGAAAGTGGTTAAAGGAATTGTATTATCAACATAATAAAATACTACATGAACTTGTAACAGGATCCTTTGTGGACTATTGCAATCCACACTCTTGGTTTGTACATGGTAACTAGAACTATGTGTTTATTTATTCTGATAAAGATATGGAGTGCATTTTCAGAGGTGGTTTAATATTTATTTTTTTAATATAATTTATTGCCAAATTGGCTTACATACAACACCCAGTGTTCATCCCAACAAGTGCTCCTCTCAGTGCCCATCACCCACTTCCCTCCCACCCCATCAAGTTATTTATCATCAAGGAAATATAAATCAAAGCCACACTGAGATACCACTTCACACTGGTCAGAGTGGCTAAAATGAACAAATCAGGTTAATATTTATTTTATGTAACTTCTATAAAATTACTTAATTCATTATTTTAAAATTTGACATAATTATTTTTATTATATTTGATACATATTTTTAAATTTTTATTTATTTTTGAGAGAGAGAGAGAGAATGAGCAGGAGAGGGGCAGAGAGAGGGAGACACAGAATCTGAAGCAGGATCCAGGCTCTGAGCTGTCAGCACAGAGACCCATGCAGGGCTTGAACTCATGAACCACAAGCTCATGACCTGAGCCGAAGCACATGATGAAGGCAGACGGATGTTGAAAGGATAAAGACTACCCTGGGGGCAAGGATGGTTTCTTTATTCATTTAACCACATGTAATGAAGATTTACTACATCTCAAATGCTGTTTCAGGAGTGGGGGACATTCTGTATGGACATAGAAGGCCTCTGCTGTCATTGAGCTTGCATTCTATAGGAGAAGACACATACTAAACAAACAAACAAATATATAACTGTAATGTCAGTACGTGATAAGTACTATGATGGATAATAAAGCAAGGTAACAGGATAGAGAGAGAGACTAGGGTGGAGAGAAAGGGTACTGTTTCAGATAGGTTTGTCAGAACAGATATCTTTGAGAAGAGGATATTTTAATGAAGAACTGAATTGTATAGAAGAGTGAACCATGTAGAGATATTGGGGAAGAATTCTAGACAGAGAAAATAGTGTGTATAAAGGTACAGGTGGGAATAGGATTGGCAAATTCCAAGAACAGCAGAGATGCAGCAGTAACTGGTGAGGAGTGTGGCAGGGGAGAGGATAGAAGCTGAGCACAGTGAGGAAAGTGAAGGTCAGTGCAGTGTAGAGCCATGCAGGTCAGGGTTGTGATATGATCAGATTTAGGCTTTAAGGAGACAAACAAAACAAAACAAAACAGAGCAAAACCAATGCCTGTTGAAGATATATAAAGGTAGGCTAAACTGCTATAACAATAACCAAAAATATAGTGGCTCAAACACAACGGAAATTTATTTCTCACTTGCACTAATAGTCTAGGAAGCTCTCCTCCATGCAAGGTATTCTCCCAAAGACCTTGGTGCAGAAGTGACACTTACCACTTTTGTTCACATTCCACTGGTGAGAACCTGGTCCTGTGGCCACACCTAGATGCGAGAGATCCTGGATGTACTCTGACTTTGGTTTCTCATACAGGAGCACAATACAGCAAATCAGATGAAAGTGGCTTGGACTAGGATGGGAGAACAATGAGGTGGTCATATTTTGGATATATTTTGGTAGTAGGGTCAACAGGAATTACTGATGGAATAGATGTAGGTATGTGAAAAAGAGGAGTTAAGGATAAATTTTTGATATTTGAGTGAATGATGATGTCATTTATGCAGATGAAGAAGACCTGAGGAGAATAGCTTTCTGCTGTAGTCATGTTAAAGTTTGAGGTGCTTGTTAGCCGTGTAAGGGGAGATACTAAGAAGACAACTAATATTCAAAACTTCAGTTCAAGGGAGAGGTGGATGATGATATAAACTTGGAACATCAGTATGTGGATAGTATTTAAAGCCATTTGGGGCGAGATGAGATCTCCTAGGAGTGAATATATCCGTATATATAATAACAAGAGTGCTGGGGACTAAATCAATGCTGTGATACTCCAGTGTTTGAGAGCTGGAAGGAAGTGGTAAGCCAGCAAAGGAGACTGACAAGAAGTGGTTACTGAGATAGGAGAAAAACCGGGGGAGCAAGGCATCCTAGAAATCAAGAGAAGGAAGTGTTTCAACAAGTAGAAAGAGATCACTTGTGTCAGATGCTGTCTGAAAGGATGAGGACTGTGTTGACCATTGAATTTGAAGTTTCACATCATTGGGAACCATAGAAAGAGTATTTTTAGTGGAATGTTATTTACAGTCTTAACAGCGGACTGAGGAAATAGTGGGAGGTAGAAACTGTACAGGCAATTCTTTTGAGGAGTTTTGCTCTAAGGAAGATAAAGAAATAGGGCAGTAGCTAAGGAATGACTGGGAAATATTTGTTTAGGTGGGAGAAAATTACAGTATATTTGTATTTGGTGGAGATGATTCAGTAAAGGATGGAAAAACTGATGATGGAAAAGCAAAGCCTTTGAACAGCGCACGAGTGGAGGGATGTGCCTTGGGTAAGAACCAGGAATACTCATCCACTGTAGAAGGAGGAAAGGACAAAAGAGGGCACAGAGGCAAATGGCTTAGTAGATTTGGTGATGAGAGAATATAAAAGCTCTCTTTTGAGAGAAGAGGTTGTAAATTCGTTACATCAGAGAGCAGGAGAATGAGTTGACTAGGTGTAACACCGTTGAGGAATGGAAGTGTAGAAGCGTGGAAGCAGGTGATGTAAGCAAGGGAATGCACTTAATCTAGGACCATAGAATCTTAGCTAGGTAAGAGGGTACTGAAAAAAGGAGATAAGTAATAGAAAGCAAAAACATACTAGGGCAAATTGAAGATCCCTCTGTAGGCTACGGATAGTTGAGGTGGAAGACAGGAGAGTAAATGAGAAAAAAGAAGTGATAAGCAGGGGTAGATAGATTGAAATCATGATTTAAGAGATGTATAGTTACTATACATTGAGTAACATTGAGTTACTATAGTTACTCAAGTGTGGTCAAGGGAGTTAATGGTAGAGGTGAATGGAGATTGTTTTTTGGCTGAGTTACAAAACTAGAGGAGAGGAATTCATTGGTATTTACTCTTAAAAATAGAAAAGAGTTTGGTAACAAATTGGTAACCAAGGATTTGGTTCATTTATTTTTTAGATTTATTCCTGAAGTCTAGGCTCCAGGAACAAGATATCCAGAGGAGACCAACTTCTTTCTATACCCACATATGCAACCCCTGGGTCTCCCTGTTAGGGGTGAGTTACTTCATTTTGATCTCAATTGTCCTTGAGAAAGAATTCAGATAGAGACATTGATCTAGGGAGCTGCAGAGGGGAGAGGAAAAAGGGCAGTCTTAATTAGGAGCAATGTGATTTAAGTTTGTTACATTAGTTTAGATGGGATTACAAATGGCAAACTTATATTTAATGAACCACTTATTTCAATCAGTAGGTTACTTTAAAAATAATTAAACATCTGTGATAACCTCTGAGTCACTAAATTTCTAGGTATACCAAATTAACGTACTTTCACTCTAATTTGTTTCTTCTAAGGAGGAGTAGGACAAGGGGCTAGGGTAGATATTTATTTATTGATAGTTTTGATTACAGCATCCTTTTGGGTGGGTGTGTTCTCAAATATCTGCTTAACTTCAGTTTTTTGAATTATGTGTGAGCTTCAACTATTTAGAATTTCTGGCGATCAGAGGTGGATGAGAGGGACTATTGTTTCTTGAGGCCCTTACCTTGTGGCTTGCTTACCATGTGATAAACTGTTAGGTGACTTGCCTTCCTATTCTGTTTCCACAGGCTGTTGGGTCCCTTCTCATCATGTTTGTGATCCAGTGGGTCTACGCCCTCATTAACATGGGTGTTGCTGCCATTGTGTATTTCTACATTGGTCGGGCCAGTCCAGGGCTTCACCTTGGTAAGAAGCAGAGCCATTTTTCCATCATCTTCCTTCTTCTCTTTTAGCATCCATTGAAAAAAAAAAAAAGCATTTTGAGCACCTATTAAATGCCAACTAATTCAGATATGAATCTCATTTTCAAGTAGCTTCTAGTCTAGGAGGAAAAATATAACATGCCCATAAATAGTAACAAATAAAGAATAATAACTTGTAAGGTTTATAAGATGCGTGGAAGTAAAATTGTTGACAACAGTAGCACAAGAGAGGAAGAAAGAAATGGAAACGTATGGTTTTATGTTTCTGATACTAATGTGAAATACTATAATATCACTTAAAGGTAGACCATGATAGGGGCTCCTGGATGGCTCAGTCAGTTAAGTGACTGACTCTTGATTTTGGCTCAGGTCCTGATCTCACAGTTCATGGGGTTGAGCCATACGATGAGCTCTGCACTGACAGTGTGGGGCCTCCTTAAGATTTTCTCTCTCTCTGCTGAGAACAAACTGAGGACTGATGGTTGGGGAGGGAGGGGGGAGATGGGCATGGAGGAGGGCACTTGTGGGGATGGGCACTGGGTGTTATGTGGAAACCAACTTGACAATAAACTATTTGTAAAAAAAAAAAAAAAAGTAAATGAATATACATTAAAAGAAAAAAAAAATTTTCTCTCTGTCTGTCCCTCCCCAACTCATGCTCTCTCTCTAAATAAATAAACATTAAAAAAAGAGGTAGACCACGATGAGTTAAAAAGATATACTACAAGCCCTAAAGCAACCACTAAAATACAACAAAGAGTTATAGCTATTAAGCCAATAAAGAAGATAAAATTGAATTTAAGAAATGCTCAAATAGAAATAAAGCAAGAAAAAGAAAATGATAATAAAGGACATATAAGACAAACAAAAAACAGATAGAAGGGTGGTTTATATAAACCTAACTATATCAATAAACACACTAAATATAAATTGTTTAAATATTCACAATTCAAACGTCCAAACTCTGAGATTGTCAGATTCAACAAAAAAGTAACTATATGCTACCTACAAGAAGTTGACTTTATTATTTTTTTAATTGTTTTAATGTTTTATTTATTTCTGAGAGAGAGGGAGAGAGAGAGAGAGTGAGCAGGGGAGGGTCAGAGACAGAGGGAGATAACAGAGTCTGAAATAGGCTCCAGGTTCTGAGCTGGCTGTCAGCACAGTGTCCAATGTGGGGCTTGAACCCACAAACCATGAGATCATGATCTGAGCTGAAGTCAGACGCTCAACCAACTGAGCCACCCAGATGCCCCAAGAAGTTGACTTTAAATATAAAGGCACATGGTATACATGGGTGAGCATGCTGAGCATGGAGTCTGCTTGGGACTCTGCCTCTCACTCTGCCCTGCCCTTGCTCGCACACGCGCACATGCTTACACTCTCTCTCCCTCTCTCTCTAAATAAATAAAGAAGCATTAAAAAAAAAAATAAGGGCACAAATAAGTTAAAAGCAAAGGGGTGGAAAAAGATAATATCATGATAATGTGAATCAAAACAAAGCTGGACTGATTATTCTAACACCAGACAAAGTAGATTTCAGAGAAAAGAATCTATCAAAGATAAAGAGGGTCATTTCATAAAGGAAAAGGGAAAAATTCATCAAGAGGACATAACAAACCTTAGCATTTATGTTCTTAGAAATAGAGCTTTGAGGAGCGCCTGGGTGTCTCATTTGGTTAAGCGTCCAACTCTTGATTTCTGCTCTGGTCATGATCTCACAGTTCCTGAGATCGAGCCCCACATCAGGCTATGTGCTGAGGGGCAGAGCCTGCCTGGAATTCTCTCTCTCCATCTCTTTCTGCCCCTCTCTTGCTCATGTTCTCTTTCTGTCTCAAAATAAATAAGCATTAAAAAAAAAAAAAAGAGCTTTGAAATAACATCATGCAAAACCTGACAGAACTGCAAAAAGAAATAGAAAAGTTAATAATTATAGTCAGCAATTCCAACACCAAGTAGGCGTAAAATCAGTAATGCTTTATTTATTTATTTTTAAATGTTTATTTATTTTGAGAGAGAGAGAGAGAGAGTGAGAGAAGGCTAGTGGGAGTGGGGCAGAGAAAGAGGGAAAGAGATAATTCTAAGCAGGCTCTGCACTGTCAGCTCAGAGCCTGACACGGGGTTCAGTCTCATAAACTGTGAGATCATGACCTGAGCCGAGATCAAGAATCAGATGCTTAAGTGACTGAGGCATCCAGGTGCTCCAGATCAGTAAGGCTTTAGAAGACTTGAAAAATATTATCCACAAACCCAAGCAAATTGACAGTTATAGAACATGCCACCTAACAACAACAGAATACATGTTCTTTTCAAGTATATATGAACATTTACCAAGACAGAACATATTCTAGGATTAAAAAAAAAAAGTCACAATAAACTTCAAAGCACTTAGGTAAATTCAAGAACAAAGTATGTTCTTTGACCAAAGGGGAATTAGAAATGAGTAATAGAGTGATATTCTGGTTATCAAAATATTTAGAAGCCAAAGAACACTAAATAACACTAAATGACTAAGAACTTTAAGGAAACTAAATAACTCAGGGTCCAAAGTGAAAATACAAGGGTCCCTGGGTGGCTCAGTTGGTTAAGTCTCTGATCCTTGATTTTGGCTCAGGTCATGATCTTATGGTTTGTAAGTTCAAGCCCCATGTCAGGCTCTGTGCTGACGGTGCAGAGCCTGCTTGAGATTCTTTCTTTCTCCTTCTATCTCTGCACCTCCTCTGCTTGCATGCTCTCTTTCTCTCTCACAATAAAGAAAATAAACATTAAAAAAGGTGAAATTACAAAATATTTTGAACTGAACAAAAATGAAAATGTAACATTTCAAAATTATGGGATGAAGCTAATTCAGTAGCTAGAAGGAAATTTGTAGCATCAAATGCTTATATTAGAAAAGAAGAAATGTCTGAAATCAATGACCAGCCTTTAGTTTAAGAAACTAGAGAAAGAAGAGCAAATTAATCCCAAATAAGAAGAAAAAAAGAAACAATAAATATCAAACTAGGCATCAATAAAAATTTTACATAGAAAGAATGCTAGTGAAACAAAAATCTGGTTATGTGACATCAATAAACTTGAGAAACCTTGAGCTAGACTGATGCGTATAAAAGGAGAGAAGTCATAAAATGACCAATACCAGGAGTGAGAGAGATGGCACTACTAGAGTCTACAGATATTAAAAGAAAGACAAAGAAATACTGTAAACAGTTACGTGCCAATAAATGTGACAACCTAGATAAATTGGATAAATTCTTTGAAAGATATAAACTATCAAAGCTCTCTCTAGAAGAAATGTAGGTGGGGTGCCTGGGTGGCTCAGTCGGCTAAGCTTCCAACTTCAGCTCAGGTCATGATCTCATGGTTCGTGGGTTCGAGCCCCATGTCGGCCTCTGTGCTGACAGCCAGCTCAGGGCCTGGAGCCTGTTTCAGACTCTGTGTTTCCCTCTCTCTCTGACCCTCCCCTGCTCACGCTGCCTCTCTCTCTTACTCTCTCTCTCAGAAATAAATAAAGCATTAAATTTTTTAAAAATGTAGGGCTATTTAGGTAATCTAAATATCTTGTCAATTAAAAGCCTTCCCACAGAGAAAACTCTAGGCCCATATGGCTTCACTAAAGCAAACTACCAGATATTTAAGGAAGAAAGAATATTAATTCTATAGGAACTCTTTGGAAAACTGCATACCAATATCCTTCATAATGTAGATGCAAAAGATCATAACAAAATGTTAACAAGTTGAACATCACTATGTACAGTGTGGGACCCAATGCAGGACTTGAACTCATGACTCTGAGATCAAGACCTGAGCTGAGATCAAGAGTCAGATACTTTACCCACTGAGCTACTAAGCCACATGATTCAGTATTCTTAATGTTGGTTCTCCCCAAATGGTTCTATAGATACAACACAATCCCAATAAAAATCTCAGCTGCCTTTTGTGTAGCAACTGGCAAATGGATTCCAAAATATTTATGTGGAAATGCAGAAAACCCTAGATTAGTCCAAACAGCTTTGTAAAAGAACTAAGTTGGAAAATTTACATTACCTGATTTCGAGACTGATTGTAAGCTAAAACAATTGACATAGCATGGTATTGTCATCAAGATAGACAAATCAGTGGCCAAAATAGAGAGTCTAGAAATTAACCCCCACACACACGGTCAGTTGATTTTCAAAAAAGGTGCAAAGGTAGTTCAGTGGAAGAAATGTCTTCTCAGCAAATGGTGTGGGAACAATTGGAAATCCGTATTCAAAACAATAAGCTGCAATGCATACATCGTATACCATAAAAATAACTCAAAATAGATCATAGAACTAAATGTAAAACCCAAAATTATAAAGTTTCTGAAATAAAATATAGGACACTGTATGAGTGAAGCAAAGATTTCTTAGACATAAAACTCAGTACAGTAAAAGAGTTGAAAAGTTGGACTTCATCAAAACTGAGAACTCTGATCTTCCAAATATCCTGGCAAGCCATAGGCTGTGAGAGAATATTACCAATTCACATATCTGATAAGGGACTTGTATCTAGAACATATAAAACCTCTCAATATTCAATAAGGAAATGACAATAAAAATGGGCAAAAATTTTAAATAGATTTCACCAAAGAACATAAATCGATGGCAAATAAGCACGTGAAAAGATGCTCAACATGAGTGGTCATTAGGAAATGCAATTAAAATCATAACATATTACTATATACATATTAATAGGATTAAAATGAAAAATACTGACCGTGTCACACATTGGTGAAGATACGGAGCACGGTGAACTATCATACACTGCTGGTGGGAATGTAAAATGATACAGTCACTTTGTAAAACAGTTTGGCAGTTTATTAAAAAGTTAAACAAGAGGGTGAGGGGGGGTGTGTGTGACATAGGTGATGGGGATTCAGGAGTATACTTGTGATGAGTGCTGGGTGTTGTAGGGAATTGTTGAATCACTATACTGTGCTTCTGAAACTAATATAATACTGTATGTTAACTACATTGGAATTAAAAATTTTTTTAATAATAAATAAATAAAATCCCCCTCCCAAAGTTAAACCTATACCTGCTGTATGAACCAGCTACCATACTTCTAGTTATTTACCCAGGAGAAATGAAAGCATATAGCCATAAAAAACATGACATGGGGGCGCCTAGGTGACTCAGTCAGTTGAGCAACTGACTCTTGATTTTGTCCCAGGTCATGATCTTACAGTTGTGAGATTGAACCCCATATCAGGCTCCACGTTGAGTGCGGAGCCTGCTTAGGATTCTCTCTCCCTCTCTCTCTGTCCCTTTCCCCCACTTGCTCTCTCTCTCTCAAAAAAAGTACATGAATATTCATAGCACCTTAATTTGTAGGTAGCCCCAAACTAGAAACAACCCAAATGTCCAACAGTAGGTGACTCTATAAATAAGTTGTAGTATAGCCATAGAGTGGAATACTACTCAGCAATACAAAGAATGAACTTACTCTTTCTTAAAGAATGGATTATTGATACATGCAATAACATGGATGAATCTCAAAATAATGATGCTGAGTGAAAGAAACCAGACAAAAAGAGCACATAGTACGCTATTTCATATATCTATAGTTATTAAAAATACAAACTAATCTATAACGACAGCAGATCTATGGTTGCCTTTGGAAGGGGTTTGTGGGTTCGGGGAATGCGTGGGAGGGAGGTCTTATGAAGTGGCTTGAGGAAACTATTGGAGGTAGTAGATATGTTCATTATTTTGTTTGTGGTAATGGTTTCACAGTACATGCATGTGTCAATACTTATGAAATTTTACACTGTAAATACATGTAGTTTGTTCTAAAAATGTACCCAGGATTTGTTTTAATTAGCAAGATTAAACACAGGCACAGAAATGATAAGGTACACACACATAGCAGTGATGGTCAAGAAGGAAGAAGTTTATCTTGACAGGTCCCTAGAAACAGGAAGCATGGCCTACCATTCAGGGCCACACGGGGAAGGACCAGCCTTGGTCACCAGGAGGCAGAAGAGGAAGAGAGGAGAACAAAGCTCAGAGCCATAATTGGAGTTTTAATGGGAATGAATGGGTGAGGCAAGTAGGAAGCTGAGTGAGTTTAGGATTGGATAGTTGGAATGATTTCGGTGGGCTCTGGGCTCTAGGAGTGGTCACTAGCTATCCCTGGCCCTGGGTAATTTACTGCAGGGGAGTATTGGCTTGGTGTGTGGGACTTTAACAAAGGAGGCGAGTGAGGGTAAGGGTTCTGGATTGGTTGGTTTGTATATCAAAAGTAGGCTCATAGGGGAGTTTGTGGTCTCGAGGAATTAGCTCCACCTCCAGGATCAAGGCCACAAATTCCAGAGTGGCAAGAATAAAGAAAGTAAGAAAACATAGTCAGTACTCTGATTATATGTCAGTTATTCCTCAGTAACAAAGCTGTTTAAAAAAATACAGAGGATGGGTACCAGGGTGGCCCAGTCAGCTGAGTGTCTTGACTCTTGATTTTGGCTCAGGTCATGGTCTCACTGCTCATGAGTTGCAGCTCCACTACGGGCTTGGTGCTGACAGTACAGAGCCTGCTTGAAATTCTCTTTCTCCCCTGCCTCCCTAAACCCCTCCCTCAACTGCCATCCTCCACTCCCCCCATGAGTGTGTGCTCTCTCTCAAAATAAATAAATAAAGTTAAAAATATATATACAGTTGAGAGCCCTTTTTATTTTTAAATTTTTTTTTATAGTTTATTTATTTTTGAGACAGAGAGAGACAGAGGATGAGTGGGGGAGGGCCAGAGAGAGGGAGACACAGAATCTGAAGCAGGCTCCAGCCTCCGAGCGGTCAGCACAGAGCCCGATGCGGGGCTCGAACCCACGAACTGAGAGCCCTTTTTTAACAAAATTTTATGATGCCCCAATTTAAAATGAAGTAATTAGTTTCAAGTTCTAACTAAATCAAACCATAACAATCCAGGCAAACTGAAAAGAAAAAAAAAGTCTTCAGAATTAGAATAGTTTGATGTGTAGTGATTTATTTGTCTGTTTGTTTAAGTAGGCTTCACACCCAGCTTGGAGCTCAACACAGGGCTTTCATTCACAACCCTGAGATCAAGACCTGATTTGAGATCAAGAGTCAGATGCTCAATTGACTAAGCCACCCAGGTACCCCTGATGTAGGGTTTTGAAAGAAAAGCACTTTAAACAGTTTAAGTCCCACTTACATTAAAAATAATGGTTGGGGTGCCTGGGTGGCTCAGTCAGTTGGGCGTCCAACTTCGGCTCAGGTCATGATCTCACGGTTTGTGGGTTTGAGCCCCATGTCGGGCTCTGTGCTGACAGCTAGCTCAGAGCCTGGAGCCTGCTTCGGATTCTGTGTCTCCCTCTCTCTCTCTCTCTGACCCTCCCCTGCTCACGCTGTCTCTCTCTCTTTCTCTTTCTCAGAAATAAATAAAACATTAAAAAAAATAATGGTTTAGAAAAAGTCATGTTAAGGAGAGGTCCTCATAGCTAGGAATATATTTTGATTAACATAGGGATTACATTAGTGATTGCTTCTAAATTTCTTAGAAATTAGTTTGATATTAAGAAATCTAAATATTTCCCAGAAATTTATTCATAGGAAAATATGAAATAAAACTTCAGGCCAATCTACATCTAAAATTTAGGTAATTTAGAATCTAAGTGATTACACATAAGAAGGGTCAGTAAAATGTTTATTTTCTTTCTTCTGAGACTATCAAAATATATTAGGAACTTTCTCTTGCAATTGCAGATATTAATGCAGATCAAAAATTTGTCCTCCCATTAACCATAAGAACCCTAAATGAAACTGAAGAAATACATGTTATTAGAGGCATACTGTTGACATTAGCCAAGATTCTAATGTAAGCCCCATAATTCTGATTATATATGAAATATTATCTTATTAACGAATTATATATATATGTATGTATGTGTATGGTATATATGGTGAATATATATTCACTCCAGCATATACATACATACAAACATATATATATATACACACACACATATATATAGTTTGGAGAAACATTTTAGAAAATTACATTTGATTTGATTTCCTAAAGTTTTATACACACACACACACACACACACACACACACACATATATAATTTATTATCTGAGATTAAAAAAAAACCCACATCAAAGGAGGGATGGATTTAAAAAAAAAGTTGATAAGTCCTATTCTAATCAGTGTGTCTGATGTCAAGATATTTGGCTGGTATCACAACAATCTCAATTCAAACTTCGGCTCTGGCGTTTCTGCATATTGAGCTGTGTGATTCACTTAACACCTATTGAAACATCCTAAGTGCCAGGTCCTGTGGGTGCGATATACTATGAGTGTTCCAAGATGAAAAAGACATCCTTTCTATCCTTAAGGAGTGAACAGTCCAGTAGGGGACTTCATACCATGTGTTTAATGTATTATCAATTTGAATCTAAGAAAAAAAATTATCAAAAAAAATTTAAATTCCTAAGACTGAAGTTAGCAAATCCTCTGCGTTTTCCTCTATAGCATCGTATTTGGTTTCTTTCTTGGGATTCTGGATTTTAGAAATTTTTGAAATAAATTTTTGAAAACTACATTTGAGTACAAAGTCCTCAGTTGGTTGCTGTTGGAATATTACTATGAGTGAAGTTTAGTTAAACTGAAAAAGGAAAAAAATATTGTGCTAATTCTCGGTGCATGTCGGGGAGTGTATATTCACACTATTAAAACTGGGCTTTTGGGTGCATACATAGAGCCTTTATCAATATTTATGTATATGTCTTCCCTGTAGGATCAGCCTCCAACTTCAGCCTCCTCAGGTGGATGAGGTCTCTTCTGACCCCTTCCTGCAGGTCTGTGCCACTCTGGGGCCCTGGAGGGTGTGATACAAAGGGTGTCCAGCCCCTCGCTAGGTTTACGTGAACCGTGGAATGGGAGCCTGGCATTTGACAACGTCAAGGACACTCAGACTCTGCTCCTCACTGCCCCCCACCACCCTGCCCCCCAGCCTCAGCTGATGAGAAGCTTCCTCTGGTCAGGTTTCTTCCCTTCTTACCCTCAGGAATCACGAATAGAGGCTTTATTTAGAATCTCATTGCTGGGTGATGAGTCAAGAGAGCTGCTGTCAGTGAGTTTGCAGTTGAAGACACACCAGCATCAGTACACAATCCTACACAAGATTAAGGCCTGAAAGACTCCCCTTCTGCCATCTCAAATCAGAGGTAGCTGACATGATTGTATTGGTAAAAATGCACACAGAAACAGAGCAGAGATGCTGGAGAATTTCTGTGGGCTCTCCATGTTCAAATACACAGGAAAAGGGAAGATCAAACTTTCTTGAGAAGCAGGAGGAGGGCTCATGCAGAAGGTAAGATTTCAGGAGTGCTCTCATCTCTCTCCTCTTTCTCCAGCACCCTGCCAGGAGCAATGATTCCTCAACTTTGAAGGCCTCAGGACTCTGGAAAATCACTTCCCTCCCCTTTCAGTACCAGTGAGGAGTCGAAGCTGCAGGCTGGGGAAATCCAGGCAGGACCCAACCAAGTGTTTATTTGGTTTCATTTTGTTGGTTTGTTTCTGAAACGATAGATGTCTGGGTCGCACTTACCAGTATTTGCACCTTCCATGCCCCAGCATTGCTAATAGATAATGGGAGCCTTTCCCATTGATCCCAGATGTGAGTTCAGAAACTTCTTTTTTTGCCCCACTTTTTATTGTGGTAAAATACACATATCATAAATCTTGCCCTCTTAGCCATTTTTTAAGCATACGGTTCGATGGCCTTAAGTACATTCACATCGTCATGCAACCATCCCCACTGTCCATCTCCAGAACTCTCCATCTTGCAAAACAGAGAGCCTACACCCATTGACTAACTCCCCATTCCTCCCTCCTGAGAATTATTTTAAAGAGAACTCTTTATAAGCACTAGCAATCTGTTCAAGTTGGTGAAGAAATGAAACCTTGGTGCTGGAGCCTAGGGTGATGAGCAAAAAGGAGCAGAGGCCATGAAACTAATAGGGAGAGGGCTGGGAGGAGGTGGTGTGGAGGCGGGGAACCCCTGTCTGCCTGGAAACTGAGCTACCATCCTTTGCGAAGCTATAGGAGGTGGCGGGGCACCTCTTGGCCTCTCTTCCAGTCTGAGGCACCAGGCTGAGTGATTTACATCACCACACACAAGCACTTTCCCCTGTCACTCGTAGGGGAAAGTAGAGTTTGAGTGGACATAGATTCTGTATAGAAGTTGCCTACAGAATCTGGAGCTAGCAGCAAGTGATGTGTGGTTGAGAATATTTGGCCTTATCTGATTCACAGGAATATTTTTAGGCATGTCTGGGTTTAAAGCCTATAAATGGCCGTGAGAGGTCACTACTCCTTAAGCTGCACTCTGAACTCCAGGAATTTCACCTCTGAGGTCACTGTAGTACTATTTAGAAACACAGTGTTCTAGGAGGAGATTATTCTTAGAAAAGGATAGTGCTTTTGTTGAAATAGAACCCAGTGCACACTGTTGAAAACTCTGTGGGCTTGTAAAGTGGGCGGTGGAGGCCTCAGCTAAGTGTCAACATCACACTTGCTGGCCTCACATGGCTACAGGGTGAGGTCCTGTGGTGGTTATTCGGGAGGATGAAAGGACCAAGACATTGTGATTCACTTAAAAGTAGAAATTGCTAGCTGTGTTTTCTGTTTTGTAGTTTTGAAGGATTTGTTCCACCCACCCACCACAACTGCAGTCCTAGATGCGCTTCAAAACCAAAGAATAAGATTGTAGAATGTGTTTGGGCAAAGGACTTTGGCTATGTTATTTCCTCTGTTACCCATATAATTCTCAGAATTATGTGAAATTAGCCTTGACCTTGCCTTGAGAGAATGTTCTTTCAGAAGTCCTAGCAACTACCCAGGTGAGAATTCTCAGGCCATTCTGCTGTAAAAGTGAAGCATATTATTTCCCTGAACTCAGAAGAATGCAATGGTTTCAGCCAAAAAAAAAAAAAAGAAAGAAAGAAAACATTAACCAAAAAAAAAAAAACATTGGCAAAAACACTTGTATGTTGACTGGCATGGCATTTTTGTCACCTCCTAACCTCGCTTCCTGGAGATCCAACCTTTAGAGAAGTTAACTCATTTCTCAGAAAACCTCCCATCTATCTGATTTTCGTATGTTCTCAGTGAGCAGCTGCAAGCTTTAGTCCTGTGATCTGAACTTCTGTAACAGCACATCTTGCCAGAGGCAGCTGGAGCTTTCTGCTGACATTCCACAAGCTTTAGAACCTTTTAAAAATAATTGTCAAATATATTCTTTAAACAAATCGTGCATTGCTACTCAGAGAGTGGATGCTTCTTTTTTTAGTAAAATTTTAACGAGGAAGTCAATGCATAAGGTATGACTTAAGGACCTGACACAGACTGAGGGGATTGATAGGGATCTGAAAGATGAGAAAATAGGGGCACTGGAGGTGAAGAGGTTTGCCTGGGACCATGAGGCTAATTAGAGGCAGAGCTGTGACTATTCATCTTCAATAGGTACCCTGACTGCCGTTCTGATCTTTCCTTACTGCATTCTGCCTCTAGCACTTTCCTCTTTTATCCCAGACATTTTCCTTTACTGGATTTTTCTAACTCCAACTGTACATAGACACTTCAGTGACAATGGAATCCATATCAGGACTTGCTTTTTGTCTTCAGGCCAACTGCCTTTGCAGTTGCCCTCGTAGCCGCTTCCCAAGTAAACCTTAGCCCTGGAAACCATTCCTCATTCAACTTCCTTTCCAAAGAACCAAAGAGGGAGTTACTCTTTCTACTCTTCTCAGTTTTCCAGCCTCTCCATTCCATTATTTCTTTTGACAGAAAAGCAAAGCAAAGCTGTAGAGCCCCAATGTGACACTATTTGGATGGTTAGCTTTGTGGGTTGTCTCCTTTTGGGTGGATGCAGTTTTACATGTTTCTACTAAAGAGAGATCCATCTCACTCTCTCCCCATATTTTTTATATTTATTTTTTACAGCTCAGATTCATAAACTATTACATACATAGTGATCCACAGTTGTTTTATTTTAAATCCATGTTAAATAATAAGTACAAAATAATAAGCACAATGACATTTTTGCAAATTGTTTACTCTATCCCAGAGGAAACTCAACTCTGCTGTTACAGCACTTCATCTTTCTTTCTGACCGCCCTCTGTGTTTCTCTCACTGAAGGAGCCTGAGATCTCCCCAAGAGCAGATAATTTTGGCACCGTCCCTGACTAGGGTTGACACGGAGATGACCCAGCTTACCCAGGAGAACGCAGACTTCGCCACTCGGGACCGCTACCACCACTCTTCCCTTGTGAGTCGGGAGCAGCTGATGTCTCAGTACTAGAGCACTGAGTGCTTAGCAGTAGGCAGCCCAAGGGCCCTCCTTTCTTGGAGCTGTCCAGTGCGCCGATGGATCCGAATCTCAGAACCTTCACGATGCTGGTTCTCCTCAGTAAGAAACTCAAAGACCTGTCCGACCACTGCTGTTTTGGACCACGGGCTCCTGCATTCTGGTCTGGGGTGCACACCTCACCAGGGTAACCACCGCAGTGGCTGTGGCCTCCACAACGTGCACCCAGTTCGAAGAGCTCCATGTGAACATCAAGACTTGCAAGTGTGGAGAATCACACCGGGCTGCTTGTTCTGAAGGCCACAATAAATGGTTATTTTAAATTCTATTGTATTATTTATTTTTTGTAAAACTAATACACTCACATGGTTCTAAATCCCAAAGGATAATCATATAGAATGAAAACTCTCCCTCCCATCCTTGTTCTTCCTATGTTCACCCTCTCTCCGAGATGTAGTCACTGTTCTTATATACACTTCCAGCATTTCTTTATGAATACACAAGTAAAAAGGCATGTGGATTCCTAGTACTCCCTTTTTCATACACAAAAGGTAAAATGTTGTAGATGTGTTCTGTACCTTACTTTTCCCCTTGGAGACTTTCCATATCAATGCATAAACAGTTTCCTCATCATTTTTCATTGTATGAAAGTGGTATAATTTATTTCATCGGTTCCACAATGAAGACATTTGGATTGTTTCCAATCTTACCCTGGTATAATCAGTTCTGCAGTGAATAATCTTGTACATATGTACAAGCATAAAGTAGATGCGTAAGAAACATTCCCAGAAGTGGAATAGCAAGATCAAAGGGCACATGCATTTGTAAGCCATTATTGTTTAGGGAAGGTCTTTTTAATTAAGAAGTTAAAGTGCCGCGAAGTACCCAATGGTGACTCATGTTCTCAAAAGGCTTTATCGTTCCCAGCTCTGTGGACACCTTTGTAGCCATTTTGCAGGATGAACGCATGAGGGGACAGGACTATTTTGGTTCCTCTGTGAGCTCAACGTGGCATTCATCACAAGCACGCAGTCCTGGGGGCCAGGGCAGCAGCTTCCCCCCGGAAAATTCAGCACCTGGCCCAGAGTTGGTGGTTTCACTGCTGAGCCAGAGGGAAGTGCCATTGGGTCTATTCTGACCCCTTTCTTCTGTAGTAGATGTTCTCAAGCCCGTGTGCCGGGACTCACCTGGGAGGCCTGTTAAATGTGCAGATTTTTGCACCTCATCCGTAGATTTTTTTATTCAGTAGGTTTGGGGCAGAGTCCTGGTCTTTACATTCATTTTTATAAGTGTCCCAGTGATTCCACATGAGCCATCTTTGGGTCCTATGTTGAGGAGCGCTGGGCTGCTGGATGGAATGGGATAAGGCAAGCGGGGATGGGAAGGTCATGATGAGGGGCCAGTTGGATCTCATTTTCTCCTAGAAATTGAGGTCACGTTTATGATTACTGTTCGGGCACTGTTTGGGTTAAATACCTGACTTCTGAAACAACTTAGAGAAAATGAACCCAATAGGCATGTGGGAAATAGCAACACCATAAAGCAATGGACTGACTGTATTCATGAAGGCCTGAGTTGGTGACCTCCGAGGGCCTTTTTCAAGAAGAGATTTCTGAGATGTCCTCTCTCACAGTTCTGGAAGCCAGACATCTGAAGTCAGTCACTGAAATCAAAGTGTTAGCAGGGCTATGCTCCCTCCAGGGGCTCTGATTACTAGGGAGGATGACATCCTTGCCTTTTCCTGATGCTGGTGACTGCAGGCTGTCTTTGCCCAGTGGCCACATTACTCCTGTCTTCACAGCCAACATCTTCAAACCTCTGCTCCATGGTCACACCGCATCTCCTCTGTGTGTGTGAAGTCAGCCTCTGCCTCACTCATAAGGATATGTGTGATTGCATTTAGAGTCCACACAATCCAGGGATCCTTACGGATTGGGATGTGGCTATCTTTGGGGGTACCCCCTTTAATGATTGTGCATTTTACTCTTTTGAATTCTGCATAACAAGCTAAAAAAGTAATGCCTCTGAAAAAGGTGATACTGAGCTTGAAAACCATACACATCAGAAGATTCAAGTGTCCAGGGAAAGAACTCTACCAATCTGATTCACATTATGGAAAAGAGTAAGAGAAGGACAGGGTAAAGCACTCCGGCGTTCCCCTCAATGTTGGGGATACCTAAATGAAGACCTCATAGTCTTGTATGGGAGGCAGATGCTAAACACACTGAACCATCTAATTAAGTCCAAAAATCTTGTATTTCATCCAAACCATATTGTGTAAATAGTAATAGGTAACCAGTACAGCAATAATCAGATCATAGCCTGGGATCCGCAGGAAGCAGAAATTCCCTGGTGCGCCCAGGGAAGCAGGAGCGAGAGGAAGTAGGACTGAAGCAGGGAAGGGGGCTCCGCATTGAGTGAGCAACCCTTTAGCATTAGGGGCGGCTGAACGCTCCATCCTGAAGGACCCTTCTGAGAGACTGCAGGGACACCTGCATCTCAAGACCTTCTTGCAGAGGGAGAAAAGGCTGAGAGTTCAGCCACTGGTTTTTGTTTCCCACAGTCAAAGTTTGGCCATGAGACACGAACCACCTCCCAGCTTCAGTCCTGACCACATTTGTGATTTGCACTATGTGAGCACCTAGTAAGTTCTGCAAGGAAGCAGCAACCTTTTTCTGCATGAAAGTGGCTGGAGCCCAGTAGAACTGGTCACTAGAGTGGTGGCTGAAATGGAACAAGTGGCCTTGGCCCCTGAGACAGGTGGGTCAGAGAGGATCTGAGGTGGCACATAAGGGATGTTGCCAGTAGTAAGTACAGGTGTCAGAAAAATGAGACACGGATGTCACTGGATCATTCAGACAGTTTGCTTATCCAAAGGCTGCTCAAAAATGTCAGCCTAGTCAGGGTATGTGGCAGTGAGACTAGGAACATTTTCTAAAATAGGCGGAAGGGAAGATTCTGGCCTAAAGATTTTGCCAAGGGGTATACAGTTGTGGATGAGAATGTGAATGAGTGAGAGTCATATCAGACCTTCTAGGACAATGAACGTCTCCTTTCAGGCCATGCTGTCTATTGATTAATCTATCGAATGATCCATCCTTCCCTCATCTATCTGTCTACCTACCCACTCATGTATTGATCTAACCATTTATCTACCCACCCCCCACCCATCCATCGACCTTCCCATCCACCTATCCATCCATGGCTGGAGCCACTGTATACATGCCCAAGACCACCTCACCTGAGCCAGGTATACCTCACCAATCTCAGAGCTTTATAACATAAAAATATGACCATTTAGGCAGAGATGAATCAGCCACCACCCTCCGACTTCCAGGTGGGTACAGCCCCATTCTAGAGCATTCTTGAGTTCAGGGCTGGGAACCAGAACAGTGGTCATTTCTCAGATGTCTCTGAGAGTCATGCTAAGAAGTCCTCTGACCTACACAGTAGAGTATATCCTGTATAAACAGTTATAAAGTAATGCAGAAGTTTGAGGTTCAGGATTCCATCTTCCTTCCTCCCCTCCAGGTTTCTGAACGAGGGAGTACATTTAAGGATGGGAAACAATGTTCCAGTTTATGTATGAATACCTGGACAAAGGTGTAAGAGCTGTAGTGGAGAATGCGGCTGAGGTCAGAATGTCGAAGCGAAGCCTGTAGTGTCTAACTTTGTTCCTTTTGAATCTAAGAATTCACTTCTCCCAAAGACCCTGGGATGAGGAGCTGGAACTAAGAGAGAGAATGACCGGTTGACCTCATCACCCAGTAACAGATGAGCAGAGATCATAAGGTGACCACACATTGCCTTTCAATTCTGGACCCTGTTTGCCAATGAAACGTGGCCCCGGCTTTGACCAATCAGATTGGCCTCCCACTCCCATGGGAAGGAGCAAATATAGGAAGCCAGGTATGGGGGGGGAGGGGACAGAAATGTTCCTTGCTTCTGCAGTGCTGTGGCAGAGGGAGCTTGTGTGGCAGCTCTAGCCTCTCCATGGGCAGAGGAGGAAAGGGAGGAGAGCTGAAGGGACCTCTGAAGCAGTAAGAGCAGTGACAGGGGCAGACACAGGGACTGTGAATAGGCAGAGAAGCCCTAAGCTGCCCTTGATAGCAGTCAGGGAGGGCTCCCTGGAGGAGGAGATATCTGACCTGCATCCAAGCACTTGCCGAAGAGAGGAGAGGCGGGACATTCCCAACAGAGGGGACAGCATGATGAAAGGTGTTTGTGGTAATTCAAGGTTCTCAGAGGCAAAGGAGTGAGGAAGGGTGAGGCAAGAGGCCAGGTCTTGAAGGGGCTTATAGCCCACTCTGTGTGCTAGGAGAATGGAAGGCTGAGAAATGATAACAAAAATCCATCTTCAACGTTTTATGGGACTTTATCAGAAGATTCTTTTTCTTTTTTTTTTTTAATTTTTTTTAATGTTTTATTTATTTCTAGGAGAGAGAGAGAGAGACAGCGTGAACAGGGGAGGGTCAGAGAGAGAGGGAGTCACAGACCGAAACAGGCTCCAGGCTCTGAGCTGGCAGTCAGCACAGAGCCCGACGCGGGGCCCGAACCCACGAACCGCGAGATCATGACCTAAGCGAAAGTCGGCCGCTTAACCAACTAAGCCACCCAGGTGCCCCGGGACTTTATCAGAAGATTCTTATAAGAATTAAGTAAGCACGATCCAGGAACAATCCAGCTTCAGCTTCACTCTTACCTAGACACATGTTTGTGTTTGTGCCCTTCTGTACTGGAGTCGGAGGGGGGGGGAGGTGGGGGGCTTTCACTCCTAAGGTCAGAGCAAGTGGAGGAAGGGGCCGCAGAACCATCCCCAAACCATGCAGGGGCAGGCACGGATCACCCGAGGTTCCCAGGGCCCCGGCTGTGTGCTGAGTCCCAGGCGCACCAGTAGCTGGTGCGTATGGGCTGTCAGGGCCGGAGGGGGTGCAGGTACAGGGCAGGAACACAACAGGTAGAGCACTCCGTCCTGCTGTGTTACCTTCCAGTCTCTGCTGTAACAATTACCACAGAGTTAGTGGCTTAGAGCCACACGAATGTATTATCTTACGTACAGTTCTAGGCATGCGTCTCACAGGGCTAAAAGCAAGGCATCGGCAGGGCCATGTTCCTTCCAGAAGGTCTACAGGAGATTTCCTTGCCTTTTCCAGCTTCTAGAGGCTGCTTGCGGGCCTCGGCGGTGGGCCCGTCCATCTCCAAGCCAGCAGCCAGCCATCATTTGTACTCTGCTTCTGTTATCACATCTTCTCCAGCTCCACTGTCTCCGTCTCCTGCTCTTAACAGCTTGTTTGGAAA